TTTATTGTATAAAATGTGCATTTTACTCACAGTGCACAGATATACAAGTAGGAGAACGTTTAGAAACTTATTTCAGCAATGGGAAATGACTTAATTCAGCTGCTAGCCATCCCAGACCAGAAATGGACCTTGGGTCTAGGATGGCGCACTCATTTTTGATGACCAAAAATGGGCAGCTATGGTAAGTCTACTTCTTGAACATCTCACATATCTTAAAAGCTTTATCAGGGTTTCTGCAAGTTGCGTGTGACTTGACAGAATGTAACAGTGACAACACTCTTAGCTGGGTTTAACAAAACAAAATTGGCCATAACATCTAATCACAGGAATGATTTCGCTTAATTTGATGGAATAAAATTTCCCCCGAGAAACAAAGAAAACAGAACTAATGTTTTTTTGTTGAGCTAGAAAGACCTGACCATCCTCTTCAGGGGATTCCTCAGATACCAAGGTGGATGTTTGCAGTCACCCCAGGAAGCCATCCATTGGCCCTTGCAGTCTTCTGCCTTGCAGTGTCCAGTTTCCTGGGATCCTGAGCCCTTCACCAAGCTTGCCTGTCCAAGAGATAATACCACGTTACCCAATGGTGTTGCTGTTGATTAAGTGCAGTTCAGTCTTGATGATATACAACAGGTTCAGCTTTCCCTTCTGGTTGGTCATTTTCTTCCAATTATAAGAGCAGTACATCTGATGGATTTCTTGCTGTCAGCTGTTTCTGAAGCAGAGGCATCACATGCTGTGCTTGTCCAGCCAGGGGATGTGGATCATGTTGAACCCCAGGTGGTGCCCCCAGCTGGTGCCTGCAGTAGTGCACAATACCTAGTGCACAATACCATGTCTGGCCACCACACTTCCTGAGACCACCCTGCTGAAAAAGCTGGGGAGAAAATTAACTATCACTAATGGTCCCAGACCTCAAATATAAGAGCCTATAGCTCTTACATGGTCAGATGCGAAACCTAGGACAGCTGCCTTAATTGCTGCCCCAAGTTGAAAGCACTACGACGATGCAGACTGCTCTGGGGGGTAGAATTACTCTTGCTGCCAGTGTTGCCTGCAACATCCCAATGAATTGGCATCTAGTGAACAGGTTGGATTCTTATGCTGTCCTGATCTCCCTGGGTTGACAGCCCAGCAGCTTCTTTATTGCCAAGACTGGGCTTGGCCCCCACAGGCAAGCTCTGAGCTAGATGTGAGTCCCCTGCCTTTGCTAGTCCATCTTGGATTTCCTCAGCCAAATGATCATCCTCACATCCAGCACCAAGACTTGCAACAGAACAGCCTGGCTAGAGACGTTTTGTTTGGAAGCAGAAACCAACCGTCCCACCTGGGAGGCCCCCTAAAAGGTTATTGCAAAGGAGGCCTCAGATAAGACCACCTTGTAACATGAGCAGTATACTTTGTTCAGCCTCTTTATCAAGGTCCAGAGAGCTGAAAAGGTGGTGGGGTTCCTGCAGTTTACCTGACTGGGAGCCACCTACCCCAGCCCACAATAGTTCTTTTTGCCCTAAAAAAAAAACACCATGTGGATCTAGGAAGTCCTGTGCTTGGTGAAAGAGGACAGCCCTTGCTACTTATGTGGGACCAAGTATTCCAGCACTTCAGGGCAGGCAGAGTGTTTCCATAGCTCCTGCTGTCAGGGAAGGATAGGAAATTCCTGTGAGCTGAACCATATCCCCAGAAGGTAGAAAGAGCAACTGAGTTGTATACTCTCTGAATTATTTCCTAGCTCCAGAGCCTCACAACGTCTCTGCAAAGGGATCTGGATTGGTGTTTGAATTTAGGGCCAGCCTGTGACCTGAACAGAGCACCAGAATAGTCTGTACTGTGTTTGGATCCTCACCAGGAACTGTGGTCCCTTGGCAGACTGTAGCAATGACCCTAGCTGCCCATTGAGCTTTTCCAAGGTTTGGGAGATGCTCAGTAGTACCATGCTGGCTTCCTGTTGGTTAGCTGCTGGCTTAGATGGCTGAGCTCCTATTCTGCCCGACACACTTCATGTCAGTGGGTGGAATGTCATGCTGTAGTACCTCACATTTTACTGTCAGCTTCCTTGCCTGTTGCTGTCAGCAGTCTTCGTCCTTTTTCTTCCTCCTATTCTCTCTTTAATCTTCTGACACTCATTGTTTGTGGACTCTTGTTTGCCAATACCATCGTTTCTGCTTGCTCCTTGTTCCCCCTCTGTCCAGTAGCTTGATATTATAATGCAAATTAAGTTGGTAGCTATTACAGTCAATGATACCTTGGAAGGTGTGTCAATATGCATTAAATTGTGCTATTGAGATGTTAACTGCAGAATGTACAGTATGTATCTTGCTGAGACTTATCAACAAATGAAGGCCATTAATAGTAAAAAAATGTTGACAACACACTGGTGAATAATACCAATTACCCATTTCTTCACAGTCTTAACCCCAGCCCTAACCCTATTGCTCCCTAGAGTCCTAAACCTGAACCTTGGACTTTCACTTTTTCATACACATGAAACAGGTCTTGAAAGGCAACTGTCATAAAGATTACAGCACATGAAACAATTGTTAAAGAGATTCAAAATTCCCAGTTGATGGAATGAAGAACAAGGATCATCCTGATTCTCTTTAAGGGTGAAATACAATTCCCCTGTCTCTTAAATATGACCTTTTAAAGGGCCAGTTGTTTAAAATTCCCTTTAATGTTGATGATACAGGTTCAGCTGTGCATGTAATAAACTCATTGTATTTCTCATAAAGATGCTGCTGAAATGGATTTACATGCAAAACATTTTCTTATACTGAGTCCAATTACTAAAGCAGTTTAGTTTTCAGATTTTTACCATAATGCCCTGTACAAAAGTGGACTATTTTTCCCAGTCTTTCACTTTGTCACCACTATTAATGAACAGTGGGTTGAACTGAGAAGAGCTAAAATGGACATCATCTGCCATAGATGCAAGCCAGCCAACTCCCATGCAGAAGTGCCACTTTCTACTTGGATGAGGATGTGTGGAAGATTGGCTGGGGATGTGGGGGGGGGGATGGCCCAACAGTGTCATGCATGGATATGGTGATGTAAAAGAATATATAAAAACTTGCCTCAGCTTGAGACTTTGATAACCATTCTCATGGCATTAAACCTGCCTGATTCTTCACCCCTACCCTCACCTGCCCCCAAACTCTAAGAAAAGATAAATGTTTGGGTTTATACATTATACAAGAAGTATCAATGATACAGACATATCCTCTCTTACACTTTAGTGTCTAAAAGGACCTTCAGATTTTAACTAAATGTATGTTCAGCATGTAAATAGTAATTAAAAATATTTTTGGTAATTAAAAGAGTTTCACAAACACATGGATACATGGTGACATTTACCTTTTGAATGTTAACAGGTATGTTCTGTAAGCTCAAGTGTGTTCAAGTTTACAGTTTCAAATGCTCATTTGCACAAAATCCCTTAAGTAGCTTTTAAGCAATTATTATCAGTAATCTTTATGTTACTTGTATTGTCAGATGGATAAAGATAGATTTGATAGACATTCTGGGGGGAAATTCAATATGTAAAAGATGATGAGTAGAGCACTGTTAACATTTGTGCCTGAGTGACTCAGAGTAAAAGATAATCCTTCAAGTGTTATGCTGATGCTTCATTAAAAATTTTGTAAGACATTATGAAAAGCAGTAGAAGTATTCCTACCAGCATTGTAAAAGTACTGAACTACAGGGATTCTTGAAAAGGTCATTGAGAAATGACAGTATTCAACAGATATTTTAGAGTTAGTAGCCCCAGATCTACTAACTCTAAAATATCTATTGAATTCATGTTCATAATAAAATCTGAACATTTCAGTCCCTTTAAAGGGGACGTGGTGGCACTGTGGGTTAAACTGCAGAAGTCTCCGTGGTGCAAGGTCAGAAGACCTGAAGTCATAAGATCGAATCCACGTGACGGAGTGAGCCCCTGTCGCTTGTCCCAGCTGCCGCCAACCTAGCGGTTCGAAAGCATGCAAAATGCAAAAATGCGAGTAGATAACTAGGTACTACCATGGTGTGAAGGTAACGACATTCCATGTCTAGTCACACTGGCCATGTGACCACGGAAAATTGTCTTCAGACAAATGCTAGACAAACGGAGATGAGCATCGCCCCACAGAGTCGGACATGACTGGACAAATTGTCAAGGGGAATCTTTACCTAAAGCTTTATATGGAATCTAGATATTTGTATATTGGGAAAAGCTTTGAAGGAAAAGGTTGCTACATTTCCATGAAGGCTGCAACACTACAACAATTTTCATCAGTCTGGAACTTACCAGATTTTGACTACAACCACATTATCCTGAGTTAACATGGATAACCATGATTGTTTTGACTGTAGTGATGGGATTTGTAATCTAACATAGCTGGAGTTACTAAAAAGGGGGATGCTTCTGTAAATACTATACAAGAGTCAGCCTGATAAAACCCAGTGGATATTACTTCTGATTGCACATATAAAGGATTAAACCATAGGTGCTTACAGTAAGGAGTTGGATAGAGGGAGAAGGGAGAGTACAGGAGTACTTTTTAACCCCCCCCATTTTTGTCAACATGCCTAGACAGCTTATGACTTATTAGGAGACAGTATCTCCATAATAATGTTTTTCATATAGTGATATATGGGATTTTGGACTGCAGTACTTTTACAAAAAAAATTCCAACGAAGTACTGCAGGTGGTATATTTTCTGAAATTCATTGCTCAATTGGTGGTTGATGTGTTCAGATCAAATAGTAACACAAACTATTCTTCTAATAGTTCATAAACACTGAAGTACATCTTTAAAATAAATGTTTGACATACAATTGGTGTGTATTATGTTTTTCACTGCTATTCACTTCACCTTGGAGCTGCATTTAGATTTTGTGAAAACATTAAAATCTTTCCATTTAAGCATCAACAGATATGCTCAGCGCTATGATAGTAATGCTGACTATTTATGAGTCTGTTGATTCAGATGTACAAATACCTTTTTTACTTTCTTTAGGTCAAAGGAACTTATAAAGGAAGCGATCCTTGACAATGATTTCATGAAGAATCTAGAACTGTCACAGATCCAGGAGATTGTGGATTGTATGTATCCAGTGGAATATGGCAAGGACAGCTGCATCATTAAAGAGGGAGATGTGGGTTCGCTGGTATATGTCATGGAAGGTATGTTGAAAAGCTGATACTTTGAAAGTAATTGTTTCAGCAGATAGATGTTTTTCTGCCCTTAGCACAGGGACGGGCAACTTCAGAAGGTCCAAAGGCTGTTTTGAGATTTGAGATCAGCCAGATGGTTGTATTCCCTAATCTGCAAAGTGTAATGCCTTTTGAAAAAAATAAATATAATGGTTATATACTGTAAAGTTTTCTTCAGTGTTCCTTAATTAACTTAAAATTGGGTTTAATGAAAAAAATACATAGGGTTTTTGACTGAAAAAGTCTCCAAGTGCCCTCTTGTGGTTGATTTTTTAAAATATACAATCAAATTGTTTGAGGGATATGGGTCCCAATGGTGCTGGAGACCCTATGAGCATCATGAAGTCACTTCCAGGCTGTTTAAGGCTGAGGACCTCAGAATCCTGGGGTCACAAAAATGGCACTGAGGCTGCAGTTTTTCCCATCCCCCGCCTTTCTGTTTACACATGGAATATTTCATCATTGTTGGAGGTGATACTAATATTCTGATAGGTTTTTTTTTACCCTAGTCATGTCTGCTCTGGTAATAATTTATAAGTGACTTGTGACCTGAACAGCCCCTCCCAGATTTTGTTATAAGATGCCCCCCACAGATATCTATCCCTGGCTAGTCCATGAGTTGTTCCTGATAACAAGAGTCTTTATTGTTTATCTTTTCTCATTAAAAAAACTTACAATGTCTATGCTCACACTAAGCAGTCTGATTTTCTGCACTCGTGCTCTGAACGGTTTGGCTGAAATAGAAGTTTTTTTCAAACCTAGCTTCAAATGAGAAACCACATCATGGTTTTGTGTTGTCCTTGTGCAGGAACCAGGTACCTTTCATTCATTATTCAAATTTTATTATTTTCAGCACTTTAAAAAAGCAGATCTGGTGTAATTTCTGGCATTATAATTCCGTATATTTTACTGGCTGTCGGTACAGTTCCTGACATTGTATTTTTTTCATATTTTATTTGTCATCAAGGGGGTCAAATTTGGAATTTTTTAAACACATATTTACTTGTAATGCATTAGTATGAAGATACAAGAATCCTACACACGTACACATATGCACACATACATTTGCATGTGTGTGTAACTCTTGTCTCCATCCCCATCTCATTGTGAAGAGAAGGGGAAGTTTGGTCTTCCTGTTCACTGATATTGGGGAAATATTGGCATATCTCTGGATAATCAAATCTTTCCTATCCTCCAGCAATCTCTGCTGAGAGGGGTGTTTTAATCTACCCTGTTTTTATGATGCTGTGGCTGTTTTTTCCGTATATACGAACCAATTCTTAAGAAATTAATTTTTAAAATGAATTGGTTTAAAATGTTGGCTTAAATCAAGAAGATGGTGTACAGATAGTGTATGATGAGGAGAATACTTGCTGGTGGGCCTTGAAAACAGTGTGAGAGGTTGGGGTTTCGAAGTGGTTGTTGTGTGAGAACATAACTGGTGATTGACTAGCTGTGCTCAGCACATCTTCACCATATCTGAACACCACAATCACTTAGCAGCCTGCATCTCTACAATGCTTATTTGACAGCTCTAGTGCCTCAATAATAAGTTGTCCCTTTCCTTTCTCTTCATACGTGACAGCTTTTTTATTTCGCAGTGTGACACTAAAGATCCGTAGGTCTACAAAGACAAGAGCATCTTTCAGAGCAAGAATGGGGAAATACTGGGCAAAGGGTAGATATTCTGTGCACTAAATAAGATGTGGCATTATAAAGGAATTCTCCTGGTTTAATCTGTGTTTACTTGTTTATATTCCAAAGTGCCTTGTGGTGGTAGATATTCTGTGCACTGAATAATATGTGGCATTATAAAGGAATTCTGGTTTAATCTGTGTCTACTTGTTTATATTCCAAAGTGCCTTGTGGAAATTAAAATTTAAATATGCTAATAATGTAAATTCATATGTGGAGAAGATAAGAAACAACTATGGTTAGGATCTAACACTTGGTTTTATTTGCTACTTGCATTAAAGCAACTATGTATTTAACACATATACATCTAATACTTTTTCTGGAGTCTTTATTTGTGTACCATAATATATGCAGAATTTTTTAAAAAATTTTTTTACTCATGATGTTATTCACAGATCACACAGTAGAGCAGACATTTGATTAGCTTACTTATTCTGTGTTAGGAACACTTTCAGAAGGAAGCTCCTACAGTATATCTGGCTCCCTCTGCAAGTGACCTGTTTTATCGTATTAGATTTATTTAATGTTTTAGCATATTAGATTCATTTCATGTTCTATGGTGCTAATTTCTTGGGTGAGTAGCTAGCAGTGGTTCTGGGACCAGGGGCGAGCAAAAGTGACATGATACTCATCTAGTGTTCCTTCTGTCTTTTCAGGTGCATACATGTTAGGATCAGATTTCAAATTATTATTTTAAAGCATTACAATCTATTGTTCAACTGTAGTGAAAATTAGCAGTCAGATTAGTATGATCCTTTTTTAAAGTCAGTAGGGAATTTTCCTTACATGTTTTTTAGAAATCTGGATGCATTTCATGGTATATGTAACCAGTTGCTGCATTGGAACTAACAAAACCCAAAGATGTAGCATACAGATACTGTATCCTAAACGTTTCTGAATGCTGAAAGGTTTATGATGTCCATAGCTGTGTCTCCTTAGTGTAACAATTCCAGTATACTGGAAATTGTACTCTACAGACTCCCTGTGAAACTGTAAGGTAGATACTTGGGTGTCTTGTGATGTGTTACAAAGGGATCAAAACACATATATTCTAGCCAACCCTCACACAAAAGAAGGCTACAAATCTGCCAGTTGAGAGACTGCCAAAGACCTGAGTCTGCTAAAATTGTTGATAAGCCTTTGTAATCAAATAATTGCTAAAGTGTGATCTTGGTTTCAGAAGTGACATTGTAGTAGTGTTCAATAGTCTTTGAGCCACTGTGGCCCAACAGGGCAGGCAATAATTGTTGTCCTTCCTGGATATTATAATATCTTAGAGAATCCTCTGTTCCTTATTGTAGTAGTGTTCAATAGTCTTTGAGCTGCTGTGGCCCAACAGGGCAGGCAATAAACTGTTGTCCTTCCTGGATATTACTTATAATATCTTAGAGAATCCTCTGTTCCTAAAGGCAAAATGAGAATGGAGTGTCTGGATGCAGTCCGAATTCTAGCGCATGACAAGTGTGCAGCAGTGCCTCTCTCCCTCCTCAGTAGTTACTTTAATGAACCCCTTCCGCCAAAGCCTTCTCTCAGGTGTTGTTGTCGTCACTGGATGTGTGAGGAAGTTTCCATCTCCTGAGTGATATCTCTTAACGAACGTACCAGATGGTATTTCAGCGTTCATTTATGCCTTGCCTTATTACTGTGCATTTTTCTGTACATCTAGGGATTGTGCCTTTTCAGTAAAGCTCTGAATCAAGTCTGCATGTCTCTAGTAAGTGCCTCAATGTTTTGATTGCAAACAACCTATCCATTAGAATACAGATACATTTCCCTGTACATGTTAATGAGAACCCTATTTATTCTACTGGGAAAACTTTTTCATTTTGGTAAATGAGTTCTATCTAACAGAATCCCCATCTGAATCTATCGTTATTCTTGTTTGTTATTATCTCTGTCTTAACATGTTTAACATGTATGCAGTGAATTTGTCTTTGTTTTATTAATGGTGCCATTTTTGGATGATGATTCAGAGGATAGTGATATATTTGCAAGAATACATAACATATAAAAGGAAAATATTCATATCAATGTATTTTTTCATTGTATTCATTATTTATATTGTTTAAGTTCCAAAATTTTCCTTTCCCTTCACCCATATGTTAGTGACAGAGAGTTCTAGTATTTTCCTATATTACTGTTCTCCTGGACCTTGTTTTTCTGATGAACTTTGTTTTTATGTTTATCTTATGAACTGGTCTACTTTGGCCACAAATCACTTAATTCTCTTTTTAAAGTTTTGTCATTACATTTTAGTGCTTATATTTCTGTATTTCAATAAAAGTAGTAAACCATATGAATAACTGCAAATCAATATTATACCAGACTAATGTAGTCACACTTTAGTTCTGCTGAGACTGAATCAGTTATGACTAACTTGTTCAATTTTTCCTCTCTCTCCTGTCATTTATTTTTGTGTGTGCAAACATTCACAGGCATGTGTGCGCACACGCGCGCACACATGATTTTACTTTTTTATGTGCCCCCCAACATATCCCAAGCTTTTATAAAACCAAGATGTGCATGGAAATGGCAGCATGGTATGTAGCCATCTGCACCAAATGAATTTCCCAGGAACAACTGTGCAATGGCAACACCAATGAGCAGATGTGGTCATGACTGAGAGGAAAGATTATGTTCCACTAGTACTTTAATGATGTGATCTGGTAAAATGAGTAATGCTAGACTGTAGGGAGGCTGCAGATCCATCAGTTTAGGGAGGAAGAGATGTGACTGTCTGGTATCATGGCCTGGCAGGAATCCAGTATGTCAAGGAAATAAGAATCAGGATAAACATATAGGCAGGTAAACTCAGCTTTTGAGCAGAGCAGAATTCAAGCCTTCTGAGTAGCTCATTAGCAAGGATAGCAAAGATCCCATTTTTTGCCCTTAGGGACTGCTAACAGTGTCAGCTTAAGATATCTGCTCTGTACTGGATTATCCTATTCCTCCGGGTTTATTGCTCTTCAGCTGTTTATAAGTATTACAGATTAGTGTACAATATTTAAATTGTATCTGAGACTTATGAGTGATATTTTCTAAGTATTCTCCAAATGTTATCAAAAGGTTTGGCCACTTTATTTGCCAATTCAGCTTTGGGAATGTCCTTACCCCTCATGTATTTCCAAAGCCCTTCTCATTTACCTGCCAATTTTAGTCTCTGCAAAAGCAAATGACTGAGATATCTCTAGAAGTAGCCTGCTTCTGGTCAAAAATAGTCTAACTATCTTAACATTTTAATTTGTTTCAATTTTACCTATATTTCATATATATCC